TAAAAGCAAATATGATTTTATATGCTTCTACCAATTTAAATTAAATTGTTCTTCAAAAACTTAATATTAGATTATATTTTATATTTCAATTTTTTTTTATACTTAAGTATTAAAGACTTATTAATATTATTGGTTATTAATAAAGACTTTATAGCTTTAATTATCAATTGATAAAAAAGTTTATATTCAATATTCTCAAATTTTATTATAGGAATTTCTTTAAACTCCATATAAGAAATGGTTGAAATGTTTAAAAACTCTTTTCCAATCTTTGTTGATAATAGCAATGGTAATACGTTTAAGTTGAAATATTTATTTAAAAAAACTTATTATAATATTATCAGCTGTATTAGATAGTTGATACTGATTAATTAGTTTTTAAAATCTCATAAGTATTGTTAGGCTATTCAATTATTTCAGGATATTGTAAGTTATTAAAAGCATTATCAAATGAAGTGCTTTTATAGCCTTCAGAATCATTTTTATCAGATTTAATTTGAAATAAATCATTTTCTATTGACTTTATACCTATAAAAGAATTTTTTGGTACAAGGTGATATTGACATATTTTTTCTCTAATAAAAAATTAAAATTATTTATTAATATTTTCTAACTTTATTACTATTAAGTTATTTAATACTATATATCAATTCAAGTTCAGAAAGTGTGAATAAATTTTTGTTTTAATAATAAAAATTGATTAATATCAATTTAAATGTCTAAAAATTTTAACAATATTTACTTTATATATTAAAGAATTATCAGTGTCAATATCCATAATTAAATTTTCACTAGGGTCATAAGTTGATAAGTTCCACATATTATCATTTATCTTCTCAAATATTGCTTAATATGTTAATTATTAATTTAACAGATGCGTTAATAAAATATGTTGAGTTAAAATATAAGATTGAAGAATTCTCGACTATAATATTTATATAGCCAACACATTTTTAATCAAATTATTTTTAATCAAAAATATATTTCTTCTAAAATAGATTTAAGTATAAAATTGAATATTATTATATATCATCCTATTTATTTTGCTGATAAGAATTTGAAAAAGGCTAAACTATGAATTATCCAGATAAATTTATATTAAAATCAGCCAAAAAAAAATTAGATGCATATAATATATCAGTTTGACTTAATTATTAGGCTTTTTCTGATATTATAGTAATGCTTTATATCTGCCCTGCCAAATTTGTAACTTTACATATTACAGATGCTGGCATGATAGGCTATGCAAAGAATAGAAAACAACTGGATATTTCTCAAAAATTTAGATCTATGGAAAAGAGCCAAGAAAAAGCTAGAGAATTGCTTATTTGAATTATGGTTCCGAACATTGGAATCGAACAGAATTGAATAGAATCGCATGAGGTTTGGAACACTATTAAAAATAATGGTGGGGTATACCCTACTTATTAAATTTAATATAAACTTGAGAACCGAATACAGAATCGAAGAGGATTGTTAGAATTCTTAATTTGAATTTAATATACAATATTTTCTAGCCGAATAAGTAATCCAGATAAGCCAGAAACTTAATAGTTCAATAAATTCTTAAAATATTATAACTTAATTTCTAAATACTTATAAAAAATGTGTGCTATTTATGTTATGGTAACACATAAGACTAAGAATATGACCCATGCTTATACAATTACTAGGAAAGTACTTTGGCATTCTTGTGACAATAAACTTTTTCAGTACAAAATTATATTGTAGTCAACTACAAGAAAAAAGAACAAATTCTTAAAGAAGCAAAACCATTTTGCTTTTATAATGATAATAATAACTAATCACACTTTTTTGTTTTCATCACATGTATAACTATTTCATCAGTATTGAATTTGAAGCTGGATTTAGAGTCAGAGTCAAACTCAGATATAAATAAGAACTCTGATACATTATTGTTAAAAGTTGGTTTTTTTTTGGCAATCTTGCATTATTTTTTAGAAATATACAGGTTTGCTATTAAGTCAATAATCTCTAGTCCAATCTTGTATTCACTATTTTCAATAATCAATAAAGAGAGATCCAGATTTTTTTACTTGATATTTGTTTAGTAATATAAGATATGGTTTTATTAGCTTTAATTATTGTTGATATTATAATATTATTTATTAATATATTAAAAAAAAATATTAAATATATATTTCTAATAATATATTACAATAATAACTTTATCCTGCGAAATCAATAAAGTATCAGTTATTGCTATATTATAATCTTATACTAATTGTAATATTATAGATAAGAGCTTACTAGATAAGTTAAGTTTGGAAATCGATTATATCTCTGATATAGAAGTATATAACTCTATTAACAAATTCAATATAATAGGGATAGTCTATAAAATAAAGTTTTGGTTTTAAATTGGAGGCGCAAATATAAGCAAATTAAAGTTTCTAATATTTTTATTGTTAATATTCCTAAATCTATACTGATATTGTGTCAGCTGTAGTTTCAAGAAAATACAATAATACTAGACTTTTCAAATAAAACTTTTATATTACTCGATGGAACTAATTTACTATTAATTATTGTAACAAAAATTCTAGCACCAGTATAAGGTAATTATTTCGTGGATAATTATTTCAAAATAATTAAAGTTATATGCCATGACATTAAGTATCAGTTTAAATAATCTAAACTTTAAAGTAAAATTCTTCAATGGTTTATTATCAAGAAATAAAAAAGATATGATCTGATTTGAATTTAAAAAACCTTTAAATGAAATATCAATTGGAATTACCAATATGCAGAAGTTTCAATTTGAGAATTAAAGACAAGATAATAAATTAATGATAAAATATTATAGAAAAGTAAAAAAACATGACAAATTAATTGAATTTAACAAAGAGTATCTTAAATAGCAATTCCTTTATGAATTGTCACCTGATAACCAGTTAGAAGCCAGAAGATATAGAAATATAAAAAGTGATCATGAGTATCAAAATAATTGAATAGTGATTAATTTATGGATTATTTTTTATATATATAAAAAAAGTTTTTTTAAAAAAATTTTTTTTTTCCTTTATTTTTTTATTTATTTAAAATATCAATACTTTGTTATATCACTTTGGGCCTTGATACATGCTTGGATTTGGTGGGGCATACTTTCAATTAATTTATAGATATGATTAAATGAAATTAAATGTCATACAGTTTCAATATTTTTGGTTAGTTATGTAAGTTACATATCTTTCTATCAATATTGTTTCAGAAGTTCTTGATTGGGTTAAGATCAGAGTTTTGTGCAGGCCAGAGTAGTACAAAAATGCCTGCCAATTTAAAAACATCAGTAGCAATTTTTGCACAATAGGGAGAACATTATCCTCTTGAATAGTTTCTCCATAAGTAATTAATCTATGCAATAAAGAGATAGCATGCTTCTGCGATATTTTAAAATACACTTTTCCTATTATAAATTCACAAATTGGAATGAGTGACCCCAGTCTGCTTTACAAGAAACACCTTCAGAACATTCAGGTAGAACTGTGTTTTACCATAGCACTTAGACAAGAAGTGTCAAATTCTTTTTTCTGTATTCGCTACATATGAAAGCTGTGACTCTGCAAGAACTGATTGAATGTGGACTCATCAAATCACATAATTTTTCGCCACTTTGCAATGGACCAGTTTTGTCACTCCAGCACTCAAGCTAATCATTTTTCTTGATTTTTTTTTAAGATTAGTGGTTTGGTATAGACAATACAAGGGCACAGACCAATTTTTTTGAAAGTACATTAAATCATGACTGCTGATACATTGGTTTTTTTTTTATTCCATGGGTTCTTAATTCCATGGATAGTTAGGTGATGATGCTTGGCACTGTCAATGACAAGTTTTTTTAGCACGATTTGTACATGAGAGTTAAATATTGACTCTGGGCCACTATGTTTTTGGGGTGTTGTGGATCCTGTTTTTTTATACTGTTTTATAACAGTAAATCCAGTGGTCTTGCCACACTTAACACTTTTGATGATTTTTTTATACAAATCACTATGTAAGTATCCATAAAGGATTGCCCCATGTTGCTCAACGGTTAATTCTTTATTTTTTTCAGCCATCATTTTAATAAATAAATCATGTGTTGATAATGTAACTGCTTATAAATACAACAATAGGGAAGGGTGGGAAAAACATGTAATTAAATAAATTATACTACGTGTAAACAAAAAAAAGTAAACAAATAAATAAAAACATAACCGTTCCGATACCCATGATCACCCTTTGTAGACCTACCATTAAATGAATTAGTAGAGAGATTGAGTATAATTGAGGATATTAGGAAAAATCAAAGTGGCATATAATATCATGATTGATTAATCGGAAAAATTTCTGCCGAAAAAGTCATAATATATTTATTTGAATAAAAATAACTCATAAAAAAATATTATTACCAAACATGACATCTTGCCTATACTATATATTGTTTATCTTGTGAAAAAGACCCATTACTTGAAAATTTTTCTTGTCCCAAAAAATGTTTGCCCGATGATTATGATAAAATTTGGATTGAAACTAATATGCTAATAAATCTTGTCAAATGTGGACGTTATTATGAATATGATTCTAGCTGTGCTTATTTAGCGCATAATTCATATTGTTCTGAAGTACCTAAATATAGTAATAAATATGCGTCACAAATTATTCAAAAAACTCAGAATGAAAATACAGTAAATGCCGTTAAAATCATTCAACCTGCTATTATTTCATGGCTCTATCGTCCCGGTGGTTCATTTATGAAAGAGGCTATGGAACGATATTATAAATTAGCTATCACACAGATTAAACTTTAAAACAATAGATATATATTATTGCAAAGCAGGCCATTGGGTGATTCTTCGAATCTATAATTCAGTTTATTATTTTTCTAAATGTAAATCACATCACGTTACAATGTGACCCAAAAGAACAATGGCATAATTAGGCCAGCTAATTTTCCGGTATGATCCAATCCAATCAGAATATTTAAAAACCCGCGTAATATGGCAACTCTCTGGAACGAAAGATCAAACACTTCTTACTGCTACCGCTACCGCTACACTATTCCGCGTAGCCCAACCTCGAAAGGTGTGTGAATTTCCTATTTTGCTTCAAAGACAGGATTGTGTTACTTATTTGTCAAAAAATAGCCATGTCTAGTACAACTTCTCCTAGTGCAACGGAGGTTTCTACTTCTCCTAGTGCAACGGAGGTTTCTATTCCTAGTGCAACGGAGGTTTCTATTTCTCCTAGTGGTCCGGTGAGGGATATCAATTGGTACCGACAGCTTTGGTGGAACACTGGTAACTTTCATCCCAAAGCTAAGTGGAATGAGGTGACGTAAGTATCCTATTTTCTTCGACGACTCGATATTTTATAAGCTAGTGGCTGATACCAGTTATTATTTGTTGCCAAGTCTACCATACGTTCTCAAGACTGGTATCACCTTGAACGAATATATTTCTCAAACAGACAAACATAACATAAAAGGCTTTTGGGAATGGGAAAATGAAACTGTTCGTGTTGTCGAATTTCCCTCAAGCTTTCACGAGGAAGCTGTTGGTACAATTGTGCAAAATCTTGGTGGACTGTTTTATCCCTTGATCGACACTCTTGCTGAAATTAAATTTACTGGATCAGCGAGTGAGTTATTTGCTTTCTTTATGTTACTGCATTCTAAGTATGCTCTATTACCCACTATCGTTGACTAAAAGCAACAAAGGGCCGTGGAGGAGGAAAGGAGCCTGATGCATCTTTTCGACCTCTTGGAAAACCTCCAGTGCCTAGCGGTGGATATGATGGAGCGGTATGAAGTATTTTCAGCCTTGTGTACTTTCTGATGTGATTGTGTCGAATTCCTAATATTGGTATATAATCTTAGAACAAACCCTGGCCCAATCTTGTAATCGAAGTCGCCTATGCCGTGACTGAGGCGGAACTTAAGAAAAAAGTAGAGACTTACTGGCTTGTTAATAATAGAGCTCATGATGTAATTGCGATCAAGCTAAATTATACTCCGGACGGTACGACTCCAACGGAGATGACGGTAAGCAATGGCAAGAGGATTTAATTTCTGCCCAGTTCCCTTGGGTAATGTTTATTCTTTAATAGGCTTGGCACTATTGCGTTAATAATACAACAGCAGTTGGTGCATTCGCTCCGACAATGGTATGTTATATTATCACGTACTTTTTCAGCACAGAAATGAATGAATTTAATGTTTTCTCTATTCAGTATGAGTTTGGGACGATTGACCGTCAGGGTAATCCACTTAACATTGTACGGGGGCAATGTGTTATTACCATTTTTCTTGAATGCATTTACCACGGAATGCCCAATAACTTTGTAATCCCCTCCCCTCCCCTACCTAACCCTATTTCCATCGATCTCTTTAAAGTTCGGTCTAATATTTTAAGTCTCTAAAGCTGGCGTGTCATATCCTATTTATACATCTTATATCGAGACTTAGTCGAGTCCTATTTCGATACACGCTGACCTTTTTTTAACTGTCATTAGTTCCTATCTTACATCTCCCGTGCGAATGTCTTTACATTTGGCTCTGTGTCCTAATACTGAATATGATTGAAAAAAAATATTGAATAAAATTCTCGCTTTTTTCTCATGTATAATATGGATACTTTGCACAATTTGAATGAAAGCGCCTTTTGTATATAGTAATGTCGAACCTCAATCCAAAATCGATTCATTGAAGGAATTGAATTCAAAGCTCTTAGCCGAGATTTCTGAGCTTAGAAAGGAGAATGCTGACGTCAAGGCTGAGAATATGAAATTAAAGCGGGCTATATAAGAGAATGCTGAGCTTAAGGGCAGAATAGAGGAGTTGGAGAAAAATAGAAGAGATGATGATGCTGAGAATGTCGAACTTGGAGCTAGAGTTGTGAAATTAGAACAGGATTTCAGGAAGTCACAAAACGAGATTTCTCCCGAGGAAGACACAAGTGTTGATATACCTAGCTCCGTTGTAAGCCAGTGTATTAATGCTAACTCTTCGTCAATATCCCCAAAAGATAAGGAGATTGACGAATTTGTGGATTCAAAATATAAGGAAAAGGCCAATAATGAGATAAGAGAGAGGAATCGGGAAAAAAAGCTCCTTATATTCGATAATGTACAGGTCAATCGCACAAGAAGAAAACGACGCAAGATATTGTACAGGATGTATTTGATTTTATCCCCAATTTGCCTAAGCAAAGTTCAGGACCACAACCACAATCCGGCAAAACCCATGCGATAGAAATTTCACTTCCGGCCCGGAAGGAAAAATGCCAAGAAATATCTGATGTATTACAAACCGTAGCTCGCTTACATGAAGAAGCATGCAATGCAGAAAACGAAACACTAAAAGCAAATCAAGCTGAAATTTTATGTTTATATAATTTTATTATTAAGCGAATTCCTGGCACTAAATAAGAAAATTTATACAAAAAGACATATAGAGCTAGAAAAATTTATGAGCTATTCAAAAGATAGGAGTGGATAAAATTAAGTATATTAAAACATATAGTGCAAACACCATCTCGGAATTAACTAACGACAAAATCCAAACCATTATTGGTTATTTCTCCAAGAATCCCAATACAGAATTGAGCAATTATGAGTTTATCGACGATTCTTCAGATATTTTGACAGAAGCTGAGGCATGCGAAGAAATTAAAACAATTAAAACCTTGTCTGAAACAGAAGTTAGTATTATAACCACTCGGAAGATAAAGTAAACGAAGAAGTTAATATTCTACCTACACAAACTAAATCCCGACCTCCAATTTCTGTTTTACCTGAAGATCCAGAAGAAAAACGAAAGCACGTTATTAAAATGGCATTAGAACAAATCCCTAGCTTATCTTTTAAATACAGTAATAAAAATGTTGATTATTTCGATTCTCCAAATATATGTCCCATATGTAATAAAGATCATAAAAAAGAAAATATAAGATATAATGTAAAGGGTGAATGGGAGAGTGGAAATTATGTTAATACAAAAACTTATCGCCTCATATGCTGGGAAAATAAATATCAAAATCCAATCCAAATAGTAACAGTGAAAGCATAGACTATTAATTTCGAATATTAATATGCCATTGACCACCATATAATTTGATAGCATAATCAAATTTTTCGGATAATTATTGCACGTTATTTATTTGGTTAATTCATACATCTCTATCGCCGGAAAATTAGCACCTTGTGCTTGCTCTGCTAAATCATATTCAAATTATCGTTATCCACTAAAATCGAATCATGTAATATACAATATATGTATATTGTAGATCAAAAAACACTATAACTGCTAAAAAATGCACCACTTGTATTTTTAACTTAAAACACTTATATATTAATAAAAAAGGCAATTATGTTTTATTTAATAAATTACTTAATTTAAATATATAAGTTGTTTATTTAATAATAAATTTGTAAAAAAAGACTTTTTAAATTTTACTAACAAAATATAATGCATATTTATTTATTGAAATTCAAAATAATTTTATAATTATTTACTATTGTCACAGGCTATTCATCCAGCCCACACTGCTCGTCATCACTTCCATTCACAATAAGATAAGTTTCTAACTCTTGAGGTGTGTTTCTGATTTGGCCGGTCTTCTTACTTTAACTTCTCTACCAACTAGCCTAGAACCCTTCGAATTCCAATTCCCTTAGGCAATCCTCAGTTCTCTCTTGTAGTCGTGTAGTCCAAGTTACAAGTTTACTTTGGTGCACTAAACACAAGGTAAGAGTTTATCTGTTAAACGTTACTTTATTGTTTATTACTTAATGTGTTTTGACTTTCAACTTCAATTTTCCTCTTTACATGCTACTGAATGGCACATGTATTTATACATACACCTGTTATTTACATATTTACATCTAATCGCTATTTTACACTACTCTAGAAATTTCTATCAATAAACTTTCCCACACCTTAACTTATCCACCACTAACTTTTCCCACCATCGATCTCATAACATACTAATTATGTGACATGATAGTGTATCATGTTACTGTACCTATTTTTTACCCACAATATTTCCCACACTTATCTTATATGCACCATGTATAAGATTGATTTAGGAATCTGATTCTCTTCTGAATTGGTTGGTATCTATAGTTTGTGATTATTAGTGGTGGTGAGGTATCAGTTGATGAAATCTCGTCAGTGTCATATGATACACAGGAAACTCTGAATCTCTTGATCTTTTTCTCTGAGATGTTGACGTTAAGCTCCATCACAAGATCTATGACACAGTATACTCATGAGTTGCTGATGCAATGTAAGTAAGTTATATATTTGATTCATCTTATCATCCCACATATACATTCTCCTGGTTTTGTGTACTGTTAACTCCCCCATGTCTTAGTCAGCCTTATACGTATCTTGTCTGATCAGAATGTCATCACTGGTATCACCAGTATACTGTACTACATCAGTACATTCGGATCCCTGATTGATACTTTTGCTCATATCTAACTGATCCATCAGTAGTTCCTTTATCTGATCATCTCATCCTCCCTTATTCTTTTTACTATTATCAACATCTCTTATTGCCATCTGATTTGAGTCCTCACCAAGCAGTTTCGACAGTTCCCCCTTATTAGTAGATATACAATAGAGTTCATATTATTTAGTTGGAATTTGTCTTTACTCGTTATTGGTGGTTTCTCTATCGGTGTAATGATATCTTCTTGTTTTTCTCCCCTAAATCTTTTTCTCATCAGCTCCCTACCACTTTCTAATGATGATGACAATTTCTCCAATCATGATTCTATCTCGTCAGGTGGTTTTTGCTGTTCATCTCTTGGGATTAAGTGTATGATAGGATTCACGTCAACCAGCTGTGATTTACTTTTATTCATTTCTATCAGTCTGATTCCCTTTTACTTTCTCACCTTCGTGCTCTCACCTGTAGGTCTCACCTCTGTCATTCTTTCTTTTGATACACCCTTGCCTTGTATTTTCATCAGTGTGGTCTTGTCCTGTCACTTCGTTGATTTCAGGTTTGTTTTATATGGTCCAAATCTCATGTATCCTTCGACCCGCTCTGTGCCATTTATTACTTCATCTATCGTGATGTCATTCTTGATGGCAAGTGTTAATGCAATCTCTTTTCTTACAAACACTCTCATCTTATGCCTTCCAGGTTCAACGCTATCGGAATTGATTCTTCTTAGAAGATTCTAAAACTTACAAGCATATAATGTCACTTTCTTGTCCTTTTTTTGCTTTAGTTTTGTAATCTCTGACAGCCACTGCAGTCGCTGCTCAAGTGTCACAAAGCATTAGAGAAAACTTGGTACAAAGTTTCTTTTGTACTCGTTTCTAATATTCCAATAGCTGAAGCAATCTTGGCGCACTTTATATCAGTCTGCTATATGCCCCTTCATGTAATATGATACGCTATTGTGTCACATAATTAGTGTGTTATGAGATTGATGGTGAAAAAAGTTAGAGGTGGATAAGTTAAGGTATGAGAAAGTTTATTGGTGGAAATTTCTAGAGTAGTATAGAATAGCAATTAGATATAAACATGTAAATAACAGATATATGTATAAATATATGTGCTATTCAGTAGTATGTAAAGAGAAAGATTGAAGTTGAAAGTCAGAATGCATTAAGTAATAAACAATAAAGTAACATTTAACAGATAAACTACTACCTTGTGTTTAGTGTGCCAAAGTAAACTTGTAACTTGGACTATATGACTACAAAAGAGAATTGAGGATTGCCTAAGGAAATTGGTATTGAAAGAGTTCTAGGCTAGTTAATAGAGAAGTTAAAGTAAACAGACTGGCCAAATAGGAAACATACCTTAAGAGTTAGAAATTTACCTTATTGTGAACGAAAGTGACAACGAGCAGTATGGACTGGACGGATAGCCCATAATATTTGATGGTGAATAATGAGATTTGAATATTAACTGAGAATGATATTTATTTACCCTTTCCCCAATAAATTAATTAAACACCATATTAGTAAAAATATTGATTATATTAACAAACAAAACTATAAATGTACTTATCTTTTTTGAAACAACTGTGACAATCCCATGAAAAACTCTAATAATCAACAATGACAATGGAGGACAACATAAAAGGCTTTTAACAAAGCATCTTATAAGAGTTGATAGTGTCATATATTGTTTCTATCTCAGGAGAAAGATATAGATAGAGAACTAGTAACAGGAAGGCACTTTAGATAGACAGGACTGATGTGATATGCTAAAGTTCCTAGAAGCATACAGATTAGTACAATTCTGAGGTATATGAGATCAGGCAAAAGAGGCAATGGTAATTTGTTTTGTAAAAATCAAAATATTTATTTCATAAAATATAAGTTCAAGCCTGCTAATTCCTAGATGAAATTGGAGCCTTTATATACATGTTTAAGTTATAATATTTTCATATAGGATAAATATAGTATATGCTATAATAAAAATATAAGCTAAGATATAGATACTATCTTTGTCATAATAATTAACTATAGTAGCATTTACATTATACATGTTGCTGAAATTTGTAGATTCTTGATGCAATTGATGCAATTATTTGATGCAATTAATTGAGTTACTATTAAAACATATAAATAATTAAGTCATGACACAATTATTTTTGAGGATTTTAGAAATTGAGTCAACAGCAAAAT